ATAGGGATAATTATAAAATAAATAAAATTATAATAAAATGTAATATTTCATAACTAGAAAAAGATTAAGAAATTAAGAAATTTTATGTCACTACAGTAACAATATATTTAACTTATTTTAAGTAAAAAATATTTACTATCTATATTTTTCAGACAAGAAAAATATGTAAATAATCAGAATATAATCTATTATAATAAAAAAGATAAATAAAAGCAAAATATCAAGATAAAATTAAGAAAAATTATAAGATAAATATAACTCAAGTATTTTTAAAGATAATTAAATTATTACTATTCAAATATATTTATTTTATATTTCAGAGAGAGATATTTATATATTTTTGAGATTTTACAGAGTTTTATCTAAACTCATTTGCTATTCTAGTATATAATTACAAGTTTTAAAGTAAAGAATTAATAAATAAATAAGTAAAATAATAAGATAAGATATATATAGTAAGTTAAAGAATAATATAAATGATATAATAAAATAAAAAGATAAGATATATATTTTAAAAAGAAATGATAAATGATAAAAATAAATTAAATCTATTGCTAAACTATTTCTGAATTATTATTGAACTATTTATAAACTGTTATTGATCTTGAAATTAATTATTTATTTAAGATCTTAAAGTATTACTAAAATATTATAGGAATATTACAAAATTATTATTAAATTATGATTGAATTTCTAACTGATATACTAATTAAATTATTCTAAATTATATATTTTTTAAAAATTAACTGATTAATTATAATTTCAAGTTTGAAAAATTATGAAATTAAAGAAATTTATATTACTATAGTAATATTATATCATACTATAATAAGTTAATCAATAAAATAATTATTATAAGAATAAATATTGACTAATTACTATATCTATAAATATTACATGTTATTATATAATATATACAAATTGATCATAATCTGAATGTTAATGAGAAAATTATGAAAACAATATAAAATTTAATAAGAATTATTATAATATATCTTGAATTAAAGAGAAATTACATATCAATTAAAATAATAAAAAAAATTACAAATTACTTTTATTAGTAATAGTTAATAAAAAATGATCTTGTAGAATTTATAAAAGTCAGAATACTTTCTAATATAAAAATATATATATCATTAGAAATTATAAAGCTAATAGAAAAACTTATTTATAAGTCAGAATTTGAGATATCAGCTTATTCTCATCTATAAAAACTTGAATAATTCTAATTATATATAAAAAAGATATTATAATAATAATATATATATATAATTTTTGTAAATATAAAATTTTAATCAAAATTAATTAATTTATTTAGATTTGATACAAAATATAATAGATAAATTAGAAACTAGTTATAATTATTCAAAGTTTTTACTAATATTACTATACTTTCAGAAAACAGAAAATTTTTAATTGATAGTCTAGTTAATATAATATTCTCTTTATTGTCAGAATAGACTTGAAAAAGTAATTAAAAATTAGAAAAATATAGTACAGATAAGTATATAATACAAAAAGTTAGATATTATCTTAAAAAAATTTTTTAATAGGTGATATAAATAAAATAAATCATATAATAGCCATGAAAATAATAAAGAAATTAGAAATACTAATAACAAAAAATGAAATTACTATATAAAAAATATTAAATATAAAATAAGCTAATAATTAGATTACAGCTTATATAATAAATTTGAGATAAGAGATAACTACTAATAAAGATAATAATTTTAATAAAGAAAGTAGTTTATAAAATAGAAATAACTGCTAATAAAAATAATAATTTTGATAAAGAAAGTAGTTTATAAAATAGTTAGAAGTAAAGAGAGATTAGTATACTAATAATAAGAGTTATAACTAGTTATAACTTATTATAATTTTCTAATTGATTGTTATAACTTTATCATAATTCTCTAATTGACTACTGCAAGTTACAACTAGTTAAGAAGTTATCTTTATAATATACAGATTATAAAAGATTAGCAAGATAATAATAATAAGATAATTCAAGAGTATAAAGATAAGAGAATCAGTTATACTTATAATGATAATTCTAGTCATGATCATAAATATTAGCCAAATGAAAACTAATAAAAATAATAGAAAAAAGAATAAAAAAAGATTATATACTATAATATAAATAAATATATATTTAGAGTAGTAAAAGTAAAATATTAAAAAAACTGCAAAAATACTTTTTGTTAACTGTAATTCAAGTGTAATTTGAAAGAAATAAAAAAAAGAGTTGCTAGTCATATTCTAAAAAGTAATGTTATAAAATATAATAGATATTTATATCTTAAATTAGCATTCCTATTCTTTAAAAGTCATTTATCTAGATAGAAACTTCATATTTTTTTGATATATATATTTTTGAAATATTTTTGCTTTTTTTCTAATCTTATTTATTAATTTCACATAACTAAAAAGAATTTTATATATGAATAGATTTTCAAAGTTTGGACTAAGATATAAGGATCTTTTCTGCTATAATATTTTTATCTATTAACAGATTACTAATTAATTTTATTAAATATATATAAAAATTATAATTATTATTAAAATAAATAAAAATTATTATTAAATTATTTTAAAAAATATAATATAATTATAATAATAAATAATAAAAAAATTTAATATCTATATATGTAATATAAAAAATATTATAGTTTACAAATTTGTTACTTTCTATCTAAGTTATAATTCTGTTAAAACAGATTTTTTTATTAATTATAATTTAAAAAGTTATAATTCTTTAAAGTTTATATACTTGAAAAATTTATTATCTATCATATAAAAATTAAATGCCTCTTACAGATTATTAGTTCTTTAATAAAGTTATTATTCTGTAAGATGATTTTTTATTTTACTGTTTTTTTAGAAAGTTATAATAGTTTAAAATTTTTTTGCTAATTAAAAATAATAACTTCTGATTGGTTAGTTTAATTATATGTATAAGATCTGTAATAAAAAATTGGCATTTGGCATATCTTATGCTGTTCCTCACTATATAATTTTTAAAGTTTAATCAAAAAAACTATCTAGAAAACAGTTTTACATGAATTCATAAGTTTTCACAAATTATTATAATATTTAATTATATAAAAGTGAAATATGATTTAAGCTTATTTAGTTAGAAGATAAAAATTGGCTTGAACTCAGTTTATAGATATTATATACAACAAATCACTAAACCTTCAAGTTTTTTATCTAGTTAATCATTGATATTGGTTTTGTTAAAAATTTCTGACAACTTAATCAGTAACAAACGTAATTTACCAAAAGTTTGGCAAAAGTTGCAAACTATAGCACGTTAATAATAATCTATTCATTCGAACTAAAAACAAAAAGTATAACTTGTTAAATTCATTTGTAACATAAACAGCAAAATAAAAAACGAATAGATTACCGAAATAAAAAATTTTTCGGAATTCATAATCATTTAACTTCAATTCGTAAAAGAAATTTAGCACATCCTATTCAATGTCTTTTAAAGATCACCGCACTCTATCTACGACTGTGCAGTCTTTGATAAAGTTTTTTGACATTGTTACGCCTTTCCAATAATAATATAATGGATAATTTATTCAGATTATCAAAATATTTATATAAATTGAACCACCGTGAAAGTTCGTATGTACATACTGTATTCTATATGTGTACGGAATAATTTGCAATAAAACGATGATTTTAAAACATAGCTTCAAATCATACAAATCTTTTTTTAGAAAATGAAAGCATGCTCGCAATTGTTGATATTGATATTAATTTATATAAAGTTTAAATTAGAAAATGTAAATAAAAGACAACGAAGTTCGAAATAAAAATGAATTGATTCTCGATCTCCAATTAAAAACTAGAATAAAGGTTACGTTCATTTTTATTCATCGAAAAATCTTCCCTAAAACATCGATAGGAAAGTCTTTTTCACCCACAGCACGTCTCACCAACAACGTCATCCTTAAAGCACAATGTACATCTGTATTTACATACTCCCCCATTTTATAAAATTGAGCAGCTTTCGTAAGGCCATGAGGAAAATTTTTCTCGGCCGCTTTCAGATACCAAAATGCTCTTGACCTACCACTAGTTAGGATAGCCATCTTGTAAGCGCCATGTGGGTGCCCAGTTCTTGCCGATTTGTGAATATACTCAACATATTTGGTGTAATCATTGATAAACAACAATCCCATTTGCGATAAAGCAAATCCATCGCCATGATCTGCAGCAATTCTGTAGTATTGGATTGCTTTTTTTTGATTGGATGATGTTCCTATCTCAAAGTGATAGCAGAATCCGACAAAACTGGCATGAAGTTTTTCTTGTCTTGTTAATGTTGCTTTTGTTGTGATTTCCTTTGGGAAACCATTTAAAACTAGTTGAAATATTTCCCTTTCGGATTTGCAAATTACTCTTGAAATATAGTATTTAACATCATGTATTATGTCCTCGTTCCATCCTCTGTAGGTTGCATCGTCATAAAATTCTAAAAATTCAACGAGTATCTGTTTTTCTTGATTTGTATCTTGATTTGTTATCCACAAAGACATTATTTTTGAGATTTTATCCATTTCAAAATTTAAATTTCGTAAAAAAATTAAAATTATACGTTAAATTTTGTGAATTTGTTGGTAAGGTGATTATTTAAATACATTCAACAATTTACTGCAGTGTGACAGAAAAAAAGTTGCATGAAATACGTATTTAGAAAATTTTCTAGTACTTTTCTAGTCAGCAATTCGTACTACCACACGGAGAAGGGTTTCAAAGTGCATGTATAGCGATAGACTAGACTGTCACGTAGCAACAATGAAGTACATATACTTGTATAAAGCCATCTATAACCCAAATTATATAACAGTAAGTTGGTCTTTGAATTTATTATTTATTCTTTTAAAACATTTCGTTTGTTTATAAACTTAAGTATTCACAAAATCTCGCATTAATTCATTCCTTGTTTTATGATTTTTATTACAAAAAACATATTCTATTAAAATAAACTCCTATTTTTTCAAAATCACCATACTGGCTTTAAGAAAAGATGGTTTCACAAACACCATACAAAAGGTCTATGTTTATTGTACGTTTTATTGTATTCTAAACATTATCCATACGTAGAAAATTCCAAAAAGACTTGCATATTTTTGTCATAGTTACTTTATCACGTTGTTTCGGCTATAATCTTCCCATACATGTCGCTGCCATCATTGTGTCTTATATTTGACATACATATACATTTAACGCTTGTAAAAATACCACGGTATATGTTTTCTTCAATAAAAATTTTTTACCTATCCTCCAGATAATTAAATGCTTTGTACGGATATATGCCGAATATTGAAATATAACGATAAAGAGTAGTTCGCCAGGATTTGAAAAATTAGGAAATTGATGTTCCTATTACATGTATTAATTTCCCTACAAGTTTTTTACGCATCAGCATTTGCTTAATTAAGAACTCAAAGGATAGCTACTTAAATGCAGCAGATTATTTATTTATCTCTGAAAAAGTCTTTCTTTTATATTGTCAGTAATTGTCTTTACCATGAAATTCTTAACGTTAGACAAAAAATACAACTAATTTGAATATCTCTTTATCACCCGGCAAAAGGGAACGAACGCTCTTATACCAATCACTTAAGTCCATAGCCAAACTACAGGGCCGGGATTTTTCATACTGTGTTGTCATAATATCAAACCAATCATTAGATTCCACTCATGTATGTAGATACTCAATTCCGATAATATTCAATCAAGATCTTTGGATCCATCAATATATTCTAACCGTCTTATAACGAGCTGCTTATTTCTAGTAAGTGCCCATAAATACGATTAATAACACTTATATTCCCCAATTTTAAATAATTTCCAACGCCAAAAACAATATTCCAGAATAGATTCCTGTCGAAATTTTACATCAGGCTTAAAACAATAATAATAATTCTGAATCTATTTTCACTAATAGAATTGATAGTAAGATACAGGCAAAAGAATTATTCAAAGATTACTTCTTTTGTAATATTTAATTGCTAAATTAAATTCAAAGTAAAAATATGATAACCACCCTTATAATATATTGTCGGAAATTCTAAAAACAAATCTACCACTTTGGAATCCAATATCTCGCAAATCAAATGATCTAATTAAATGAAGATGTTCCCCATTAGATTTGTCTCGAATCCACAAATCTTATAGTAATATCTTCATTTAAATGGATCGCTGGTTTTTGAGATATTGGGTTCCAAAGTGATAATTTCATTTCTGGTATTTCTGGTAATATATTGTAGGGTGTGTATTGTAACAAAAAATGAATAAAATATTTATTAATTATTATAATTAATATATTAATTATATAACTAGAAATTATAAAAGTATATAAAGAAAATAATTTGATAATATATTGTATAAAAATTACAAATTAAAATTATATTGTAATATTATAAATTAAAGATAATTGTTCTACTATTATAAAATTATGATTCTATTAATCATAATATATTTATAATAATTCTGAATATTAATCAGTACTATTATATTCCAAGTAATTCTACAAGATCTAATTATAATAACAACTAACTTGAGCATTTATAAAAATTTTAAATTCATAATCAAATAATTCTTTATTGATCTTGCTTAACAATTCACATATTAATTTATTAATACATAGATAAGTACTAAATATAATAGTTTGAAATTATTAATAAATACAGTGATAATTATAAATAATTAATACTTGAATATTTTACTAAATTATAATTTGTAAATATATATTTTTTATTATATATAAAAATTTTAATTTTATTAACAATATTATCTATTTTTAACTCAAAAATTTCTCTAGTTTAATATATATTATTCATATTTTTTGCTGGATAACTTATTTTAATTATATATGAAATTAATTAATTTTTATAATTAATAAGAATCAATTAATTTTATATATAATTAGAATATATTACTTGGTAAAAATCTGAAAATATATATATTAAAATAAAGAATTTTAATTATTTTTTAAGTCAAAATAAAAAATATTATTAGTAAAATTAAAAATTTTTATATACAGTGACAATCAAAAATAATGCAGCACTTAAATTCTTTACTAATTATAATTAGTAAAATATGTATTTTTCCTTATATATAAAAGTTTTTAATTTTACTAACAAATATTTTTT